TGTATATATTTATAAACAGAAATTATAAAAAATATAGAATCATATCTCAATTAAAAAAGACCACTTAAATATTTTTTTGTGTTTAATGAAGCAAAAAATTTTTATAACAATTTAAATGACTTTAAAAACAAATACATCATGAAAGAAAATTTTTTTTTTTATTATTTTATTCAAATTTTTTCAAAATCATTGATATTTTTTAAAAGTCTATATCTTTTTTTAGTTTATTTTATATAAAAGATTGTATATTAAATCTAATTATGATTTGTAGATGATTTTGAATATAAAAATTAAAATAAAATGAAATTATAAAATAATATTAAAATGATAATTTAAACTAACTATTATATATAATAATATATTATTATATATAAAACTTAAAATATTCTAAGTAATGTCAATGATAAACACTAAACTTCCTGATGTTCATTCATGAATTGTAATATTCTATTATTGAATTGTAATAGTCTAATTATTACAGATGGAATAATAGCACAAACTTTAATTATATATTTATATTTTTTGAAATGATAGATCAGTATTAGTAAATTTCTTTCAAAAAATTTCTAAGTTATTGAATTAATGGATTCAGATCATAGATTCAATTTTATTATAATCTAACTCCTTTAGATTTTTCTTTAAAGAAAGAATTTTTTATGTCTAAAAATTATAGATATTCGGATATATTTAAATATATTTTTTCATTCACTATAAAATGAAATAAAAAAAAAAAATATTCTGATAAAAATATCTGATAAAATCATCTATATTTTTGATAAAAAATATAAATAACCTTAAAAAATTCATAAATGACCAAAAAAAAAAAAAAAAATAATAATACAAAAAAGATTTATCAAAATTACTTAAATTATATTATATTTTTTGTTCATTAAAATCTAAAAGAATATTTATATGATCTTTTTTAATTAATTTATTTTCAATAATAAATATATTAAATTTAAATCATATTATCAAACTCAAAAATTATAATATCACTATAAAAATCAATAAGAAGTGATCAAAATTTGCTTATTTGTTTATAGTTTATTTGTTTCTTGAAATCTAAATATATTATTTTTATCTTTTACATTATTTTATGGTTATTTAAATATGCTACTTGTAGCATTGTTAAAAATATATCAAATGCTTTATGAAATTCAACATTAGATTAATGGAACTATATTATTTATAATATTTTATTAATATTTTATTAATTTGTAATAGTGTTTATCACGTAAATTTAGATAATATAAATTAAAATTTACTAAAATTTAAGAAAAATTAATATATATACAGCAGTTTGATATTTAGCAGTAAATAATAAAAATACGAAAAACAAATTTTCAACTATGTTATTTAATTCATGCTTTAACTATACTACTGTTTTTGTAACATAGTTTTATATGATTGTTACTTAGTAAAAGTTGAACTTAATTATATTCATAATTTCAAATTTAATACATAGAAAGTTTTATGTATCAAGAGTATAGAATTAGAGTATTTTTTAATATAAATATAGTTGTTCTATAATTTATTACTGAGCAAAACTTAAATATTATATATTAAGTTTTACATACTTAAATATCATCGAATAATCCTCTTTGTGGAGCTACACAATTAGTATTTGCAATAAATGCTCTTGCTGTATCAGTATGTTCTTCATAAAAATCATCGGCTTGATAACCTCTATCATAACTATTATTTGCACCATAACTATCAACTCCAGATGCCATGCCAATATAATATTCCGTAGGATCAAAATCATGTAATAATCCAGCTCTAGCAGATTCTACTGATTCATCTCGTTTTAAAGGACGAACTATAATTTAATTAAATAAACTGATTTAAAACTTTTATAGTATACAAAATAATAACTGATAGTACAATTGGAAAGGGATTCTATATAAAAAATAAATTGAAAATATAAAATAAAATGTTTTTGTATGAGGTTTTGTTTTTAAGAAAAATTGACTTTAAATATTCGCTGAAAACATGCACTTCATTATCTCTTTATCTCATTATCTCATATTCTTAATCTCATTGTAATTTTCTCATGATAATTATTGGTCAAAAATAGGCACATATTTTAAATTTCTGTAAACGTTTTTTAATTATTTTGTTGTTTTAATTAAATAAGAAATTGATTCTTTTTTTTAATTAATTGAAACTTGAAATTTTTTCCGAACTGTTTTGATATGATTTCATAAATAAAAATCAAGTGTTGTGAAACAGAATGCAATAGCCAAATTTTACTATCCAATCTACTATTAAATCTTAAAGGAGTTATATTAAATCAGTTGTTTATTCTGAAAAAATTACAAGTTTGATCAATTAAAAGAAAGAATCAATTTTATAATTAATTAAAACAATATATCAATTAAAAAAATAATTAAAAAATTCATAGTACAATAAACATCAAACAATAAACAAGCAAATCTGAACTAAAAAGAATAAGTTATAGCAAAATACATTAAATTAGATTAAATGTATGTATATTTGGCGAATAATTAAAATTGATTTTCTTGAAAACAAAGCTTCAGAAAAAATTTTATTCTCTATTTTTTTATACTTATTTTTTTGATATAGAAGCATTTTTTTTCAGTTATATTATCAATTATCAATCAATTCTGTATATTATGTATAGCAGTTCGTAAACATTCCATATATTTTCTTTTTAAACAAATATATAAATACCTGTGTCAGTACTTTGTCTTGAGGTTCTGTAGCGAGATGAATTGGCAGCACCGCTAAATCGTTCTTGAAGCTCGCGTCTTCTACATATTAAATCTTCCGCTCTTTGTCGTTTGCGTCTTTCTAAAAATGTAATGTAAGCAAAATAATATGAAATATTATATGAATTAAATAATATTTAATTGTATTAGTTAAAATAAAATAAAATAATAATAATAATAATAAAATAAAATAAAGAGTTTTACCTCGTTTTATTAATTCTTGACCTTCTTCAACAAGATCTGTTGTAAATTCATCATCATCAAGAAATTGTTGGAAACCTAACATAGAAAGCAATCTACTTCCTAGACTAAAATATGTTGCTAAGCAAAATGCTAGAATAGCCATTGGAAAATATACATTAAATCCATCAGATATAATAGAAATAACATCCATATGTCCCATTACCTAAATAAATGTATTGTAAAATAATTTAAATTTTAACTTATTACAAAAATTTAACAATTATTTGTCATTTACCTGAGTGTAATGAGTTTCCAAAATATGAGTTTTAATAATATGTGAATCCATATGTATAAGACCCAAGAAATTCAAACACATAGGTGGTGTAAGACGACACAACATCATGCCACTAAATATTAAACTATATTCATTTGTTTGATGATGTGGAGCCAAATAATATAAATTTAATACACGAATTTTTAAAACGGTTGAATAAGCACAATAACAAAGATAAGCAATTATCAGCATTGATAATACCTAAAGAAAGAATATTTAATTTTGCATTAATTTTTAATTTTTAAAACAATAATTTTGTTTAATAATATCAAATTCATATATATATTTTTACCTCAATTGTAAAGTAATCGTAATTTTCTTTAGCTAGATTCAAAAATTGGGCAAACAATGATAATACTGGAGATTTATTGAAAAATGTTACTTCTGACCATACTACAGCAATAGAAAGACATCCAGTACAAATAGCTACAATTTTTTGTACATAACTTTTTATGATACATTTCCAATACCATTCTAAAAATTTAAATAATGATATATTTTGTAATTATTAATATTATATCTTAATAATTATAATTATAATTATATCTTACCAATAATTGGATTATAAATAATACAAAATGGAAATGAACGATGTGTAGGGAAAGTTGGTTTAAATCTTCTATCATCATTTAGTTGATTTCTTGCTATATCTTCCAAATCAATTATTTTATCAACCAAAATTCCCCATTGAGTTTCTATACGTTGTAAAGTTTGCAATGCTTTTATAGTCTAAAAGAAAGAAATGAATTATTTATTTATGTATATACATATTTAATGTATATGTTTAATATATTTAATGGAAAACGAACTTGTCTATGTAGACGAATTAAAGCTTTTTCTGATGGTGTATCTGTTGGTGTATCATCTGGTAATTGTCTTCTATTCATTCTATCTTTTAATTCTGCTGGAATTTTTTGAAAAATTGTTTCTAAATTACAATGAAAAGGATGTCCTGGTCCAATAGAAACTGTAGCAGCTTGTAAAGACTAAAAAATAAAATAAACAAAATAATTATAAAAATCAAATATTAAATAAAATTAATTAAATTTAAACTACCTCAAGTATATCATCTACTGTTTCTTCCGCTTCACATTTATCTAAACTTAATTTAGCAACTTTAAAGTAGCTATAATTTAAAGTGTATCCAGGTTTGCTAGCATTCCATAATCCACGAGGAACTTCCACAAGTGCATATCCAAGAAGTAATACCAATAAAAATAAACCCCATGTATTTGATGCAGATGATGCTATAGCTTTTAATTTTTGACTAAAATAGACACATACATATATATATATATATATATATACATATGATGTATATCTGTATATATATGATGAAAATATAATCTTATATTTATTTTTTTAATATATTATAGTTACCCATCAAGATCAAAACCAGGCTTTAATGCTATATATATTAAAAGGATACCACATATAAACAAATAACTTCCATAATATATAGCATTATCTATCAAAGCAGATTTTAATTTTCCTTGAACAGTGAAATCTCCTGCTTTTATGTAAGACTGCATGAGAGGTAATATCAACCATGTTAAACATTGTGAAGTCCAATATACAATTCTCCATAAATTTGGAAATATATGTTCTGGTACATTAGGCCAAGGTTCTTTACAAGTATGAAATGGAATTGCTGTTGTACCATCAGACATTAATTTTGTGCTATTATGAATATTTTGTTCAACACATTGTCTAAAAACAGTCTATATAAAAGTAATATAAATTTTGAATTAATTAATTTGAATTAACAATGTGTATATTATTTTGATATTACTGAAATTAATAAACATCTACTTACAGATGAAACATCTAAAGGTAAGATAAATATTATTAACAATGAAAAGTACCATGCTATGAGTACAGAGATTGTAACGATAATATGATGTCGAAAAATATTCCCATATTTATATAATAAAGTGGCAGCAAGACAAAATGCTACCACAATTTCTGTCAAGAATACTCCAAGAACCATTTTGGTGATTTTTAATTTTATTTTATCATAACTGAAATTATGTTTATTCTTCAGTTTTTAAAACTTATTCATTTTCATTTACATTATTATATTCTATTGGTTCTTGAATTTTTAATTCAGCATCTTTTTGCATCTTTTCTAATTTTTCTAATGTAACTGATTTTAATGGAATTAATTTAGGTTTACAAAGAATATAATCCAAATTTTCTTCCTGGTATAGCAAGCTTTGCTTAGGAAGAATAATATCAATCTTTTCTAAAGAATTATCCATTAACTCTGACATTTTGACTGGAATAAAAAAAGTTTATTAAAGTTATATATTTTAAACAATTTTTTTAAAATTATTTTTTTTTAAACATTTTAAAATATATGTAATAAATAATTTATCTATTATTATATATATTTCATATATATTTTATTATTATTACTTATATATTATTATTTAATTTATACAAATATTTAATATGAAATTTATTACTTTTAATATGAATCGTTTTAATACTTGTAATAGATAGTAAATAAAAAATTTAACACTTTAAATACTTTTTAGATAATGATAAGACATTAAATAATGAATAAATGAAACTAAAAAATAGTTAACAGAAGGCTAGTTATAATCACATTTCACATATTTACTTTGATATCTTTCAAAGTTACTTATATTTTAAATTACATACATGTATATTATAACATACTTTTATCATTGAGAAATGTATTTTATCCATTTCTTTTTTTTACATTAAAATCATTAAATATACATTGTATGATACAGTAAAAAGTATCGACGTCACATGCACACCGTCAAATTGTCATTTGCGAATAATATGATACATTATTCTGCACACAACATAGTTTACTGTAGATAGATATAAGCCATAGTATTCAACTTGGCAACATTGCTTTTGTAAATATGTAAGTAAATGAACTTATATTTTATTATTACTATGAATGTATTGATAGATTATTAGTAATTAATTTTTAGAAAAAAATTAATTTAAATATACATAATCTTTTCATATTTACGTATACATATTATATAATTATAATAAATATTCAAAATAATATTAAAAATTTAAAATTGATATTCACATTTGAAATATTTACATTTAATAAAAATAACATAAATAAAACATTTTTAAATAAAACTACAATTTTTAATAAGCTAAATAAAAATATACAAAGAATAATGTTAAATAAGTGAGGTTAAACATTTTCGTAATTTCATAAAAAAACGTTGCTAAGAAAAGACTTTTGAAGAAAATTAACATTAAAATTATTATAATTATTGAAAAATATTATAATTATTATTTAAAATAAAAGTATTTAAAATATATG